GCGTCTAGACTGCTGGATGGTGTCGCCTTGCTCGGGCTGGGCTTGCATCATGCCACTCCCAAATGCCACTGTCACCTCGTCTCGGGCTGCGTTTGGTGGCTGGAGGCTGAAGCAAGGAAGATTGGCTATCACCGTCCCATCAGTCATCCCGCCTCGGGCACCTCGTTATTTTGGGGCAGGGAGTGGTGAGGAGAAGCAGCCCATCACCTTCGCAGGACTCTCTGCATCCTATCCCTCCTCCTCCGGCCCCAAAAGCTCCCCGGGATGGGACCACCCTTACCCTATGCAAGACGGGGTCCCAATTTCCCGGCGTCCCTCGCCCCTGGGGAGCTGGGGACCGAAACAAGACGGGATGCGGGCACGGAAACTGCCGCTGCTCAACACAGGATGCTCCGCAGACTTCGTTTTCCAAAACAGGTGATTAATTCACACAAAGCTTTTTGAGGATTACGAGGCAAGAGCTGGGTGTGATGCCCTACTCGCCTCTGGGGAAAAAAAAAAAACAAAACAAGATCTGAAAGGAATTTCTTCGTCTTGCACAGCCTCAGGGTGGGTAAGGGAAGGAGTAGTCATGAATTTTGGAGAGCTTCCTCCCAGAGCTGCCTCCTCCCAGCTCCAGCACCACATCCGTCTCCCAGAGCTCCCAGCTCCCACCAGCATCAACTGGAATGATCCGTGCTCCTCTGCTCAGGCTGCAGGGCAGCATAGGTCCCAAATCTTCGTAGCCAGAAGAAGAGGAGAAGGATTCAAGCTTTGATGCCATCTCAGCATCTCCCCTCACCCTGCGGCTCCGCAACATACGCTGTTTCCCCACGAGAAGCAGCATCGCCAGGGCAGGAAACGCCGAGGCATGGGAAAAAACCTTCACACTTGCATCTCGCTGTTTGCTTTTCCTCTCCCACGTGCCCACACAGCAGCAGCGGATCCTGCCTGGAGTCCCTCACTGCTCCCAGGACACATGGAAAAAAAATTCAGGCAACAGCAGAAAGGGGATGCTACAAGAAAGCAGCTTAAGGGCATGAACAGATGCAAGGCGTCCGCTGTCCTGGAATCAAACGAAGCCGTTGTCAAGAAAAGAGGATTTTTCCCCTCGTAGGATGACGGGTTAGCGGGAGCTCTGCAATGCAACTATTGTGGAGGAAAAAAGGATTTTTCTGCTCATTGTTATGTAGGATGATGGGTTAGCGGGAGCTTTGCCATGTGGCCACATCTCCTGTCTCCCCAGATCCCACTTTCCAACAAGGGTATACCCACCCACGCCAATAAAACATTAATTGCAGCCACACCAAATTGCATTTGTGTATTTGATGGGCTGTCTGCTGGGCAGAAATATCTCCCCAGTGGGACAGTAAGAGGAGGGGGGAACGCAGGAGCCCCGCAGGCAGCACCCCATCCCAACCTCCGCGTCCCGCTGCCGGTCAGGCATGTAGCACAAAACCTGTGCCGCTCCAAAAAAAAAAAAAAAAAAAAAAAAAAGAAAAGTTTTACTTTCTCTTTCTCTGGTCTTTAACTGCAGATCAAAGCTGGCCCTTCAGGACGGCGTTGCCTGCCAGCAGCTGCTCCCGGGCAGGCTTCCAGGCCACCCTTCGGGCAAGGGCTGCCCATCCCATCCACCACCTTATTCCTCTCCTCCTGCCTGCTCCTGCCTGCTCCCACCGCAGGCAGGGTCAATCCGTGCCGTTAACCCTCCTGATCGCTTGCTGTGGGAATTGAGGGGCTGCTATCCAGCAACTGGGAATGAGACCGTGTTTTTTTCCAGCTTCGCATGACCTCCAAGAAAGCGAGGGATGTACGAGCGGCTCCAGCATCTTCCCACAGCCACCTCCGGGCTGCCCCCCGGGAGCTGCGACCCGGCCGGTGGTGAGAGCTGCCCTTTGCAAAAACTTCACTCTGTGCAAGAACAGAGACTTTTCTTTAAACATCAACCACATGCTGCAATGGGGACACCTCTGGGTACAATTTAAAGGAAATATAAGAAAAGGCACAACCCTAAATAACTCACCCAAGTGTGTTCTTGCTTGCGTATAGAGGGTTTTATAAATGCAACCAGCTAGAGTCCTGGCAACATGAGGAATTACTTAAATTACTCATTAATCATGCCATATGCTAAAATTACTGAAGTGTGTAATTAAATGCTCCAGGGGCAAAGACAGCAAACAGTTACAGCCAAAATATGAGCAACTCACAAGCACAGTTCTGTCAGCTGGACGCTGGTCCAAGCCACACTGGACCCTAACTTTAAAAATCAAGGGATTTGCAGAGACAAGAGCTATGCTGTTAGAGCAGGGACTATTTCTTTCCCCTTCTGCTTTGAATTATCTACTCAGTTTTCCTTGGGGAGACAATTAGCATGATTAATATGGGGTACGAGTGCTCTCTGCAGCTAACCTGTGCAGAGATGCTGCGGAGGGCAGGAAAAGGTAATGGAGAAAAATGGGGCAGCATAGACACTAACCTGGGGGGGGAAAAAAACAGAGGGAAACACGCAGGTTGGGAAAGTGTTATAGCACGGTCCGCAAGACCCCAAGAGAGGGCTGCGCAGGAGAAAAAGGAAAATGCAAGCTCCCCAAGCTAGGATGACCCCATCACCCTACAGCCACTCAAATTTTTGGCGGGCACCGAGGTGTGGACGGATATCCCCCACGCCTTCCAGGAACGAAACGCCCTGTGCAGACTCGGCATGACACCCCTGGGATGATTTTGCGCGGTAGAAAGCAGCAGCCCCTCTCACCCGGCAAAGCGCGTGACCTCCCGGCCGAGATTAGCTCCTGCCTCCATCGTCATTGCTCGGCTCCAGGACCCCGCGCTTGAGGACGTCTGACCCACGGCACAGCACCAAGGTCACACGCAGAGGACGGAAAGGACAGGCGGTGACCAGGATTTGCATGGAGGGGTTTGGTGTTTGCCCCAAGGAGCTTTTGCATCATATATATCTATGAAGCAAGACCTCCTTGGGGCAGACACCAAACCATATATATGTGTTCCCACTGGGAAGCTCTTCCCTGGACCACAGAGGCATTTGGACACCTATATTTTATATATATATATATATAAAAAGGAAAAAAATAGTGGTATTTGGACACATATTTTATATATAAAAATATATATAATGGACACATATATTATATATATTAAATATATGCATTAAGATATATTAGATATTATATTATATATAAAATAAAATAGTATATACTATATGAAAATAGTATATATACCTGTATATTATATAGGTGTCCAAATACCTCTGCGGTCCAGTATTCCAGCCCCTCCAGCTCCAGCATTGCCCCTTCCCTGCATCCCGATCCCCTCTTCCCTCAAGCCGATGCTGAGCCGATGGGGCCGTCCTCCCTGAAGCTCTGCTGAACATCTGGCCCCCAGTAAACACAAAGACAAGGGCTAAACAAGATTTAATCACTGTATTCGGCCACGTAGTTTCCATCCATTCTCAAACCGCTCAGGCTGGTAAGAGTCACTAAAAGGAGGGTGAAGTTTCCAGCAAAAATCCTGCTTTCACCAAAATCAGGAACATTTATTTCAGTAGTCATGGAAGGAATCATGGAAGGAAAGTCAGAACCACCCTCAACAGATGTGTCCCCCCTGCATAATGCAGAGAGCTCCTACCACAGCTGGGCTGCAGCTATCTGAGCCGCTTTTTCCCCTTCCACATCTTTAAATATTAGCATTATTCTGCTGGTTTGTTCATAAATACACTGAGAGTCCTGGAGTTGAATAAATAGCTGCTTCAGGCCCATGTAAGGTTTTGACTGCTCAGCAGCGTCAGTGAGAGATCTCGTTACGTGATTAACTGTATCAGAATTTCCTGATGTGACTCAATGCTAGAAAGATTCATCAGCAACCAAGATGATGCTTTTGACCTCTCTGTCTAGCATTAAAAATGGCAATGGGAGGCAGGGGGGAAGCAAAATCAACTGGGAAATAATGCTGGCTAAGCCTTTTCTATTTTAAGGAGAAATTGCCCAATATTCGTGTTTAAAAAAAACAAAAAAAACAGGAAAGAAACAGCAAAAAATTCATAATCAGCTATATATACCGACCTAACCACAGATGCGCCAGAGGCCACGCCATAACACCACACGTATGGCTGAGCTCTTTCTGCCTCACGAAATAACTGGGTCAGCCAAGAGAAACCCTAGCTGCTTTTTGAGACCAGAAATAGATTTACTATGGCCGAGGTCGGGTTGCAGGCTCCTTTCGGAGGGGAGCAAGCGGGAAGGACACCGGTACAGAGCCATGCCGAGTGCTTATTTGAGTTCCTCGGAGCAAAGTTACTGTGTCCTGGGTTTTTTCTGTGGGGGGAGAGAGAAGCACCGGCTTCTGGGATAAGAAATTTGTGAAGATGGGTAAAAAGTGATGCACAAAAGCAGCAGCCCGGGACAAGCCCTGCGCACCTAGTAGGAAACGATCCTTCCTTTCTTCTAGGGCTTCTTCTCAACAAGAGAAAGGATCGCAAAGAGGAGTTGGGGAGGAGAGAGGGAGACTCAGTTCCTTCCCTCCACCAGACAGTTTTACAGTGAAGCATCATCACTTAATCTCTAATATGATTTTCCACTGGAAGAGAACCCACGGAGCTGGCAGGTTTCCTATTTCAGGGTTTGTTTTTCATCTAGCACATAAGTTTGCAAAAAAAAAAATTACGACCCAACACCAGCAGCTTTAACATAAAGCAGGGCTGCTACCGCCTCGCCTAAGACAAAACTGAGAACAGCTTTGCTACGAAACAGAATTCAGCACAGAAAATACATTTCTTCTTACATTTCGGTTCCGTTATTTAAGTATTTGCACAAAAAAAGGTTAGATTTGCAAGGGAAAAAGAGTGGACATCCAGGCTGCTTGATGCCCAAGTGACTGTTGGGTGTTTGAAGCCAGAAAATACCAGTGATTTAGTAAATTTATGAGACCAGCACATGCACCAAAGGAGAGGCGGGAGCCAAACCAAACAACAACCTCCCCACCGGCAGCTTTCGGCACTCACTACTTACTGAACGTTTTGCAGATGTCAGAAACCGCCTTGAAGACCCTGTCCGAGAAGTTGACTTTCACCTTGACGTACTTCATGTTGGGCAGCTGAAGGCGAAGCAGCTTGTGCTGAGGTGTGAACTGGAGCTTGGCATCAGCCTGTATCCCGTATTTGTCCAACGTCCAGTGCGTTTTAAGGAGCCAAGTTTTCTTCTTTTCCCACCACAGCGCATGATCCGACCAGTCTTTCTTGACATCTGGAACAAAGAAACCATTTTACCAGTTAAAACCGGGACCAGAATTAGCCTTCAAAAGACAAGAGCAGAAGTTTAAATGCGTTTCACTGAGAAGCGACTATTGATCCAAAACCGCTGACAGCCCTTTTCAGATACAAATAATTGCTTGTACTCAATAGCATCTAGAAGCCACCGCAGAGATAAAAGTAGGAAAGAACCCAAGAAGAACAAGGATGAGACACAACGTGTCCGTGGATCACTCAGCCCGACAGCAATGCCAAGCGTGAAGCCAAGGGGATCATGAATGACCCGACACCTTTCCCCGGGAGGGATTTTGCACAGCTTTTTAGGTTAACTATCAATTATTGGGTTTCCCCGTCCCCACCACATAGGGCATCTGGACTACCCGAAGGTGAGTCAAGCCACCTCGGCACACACAGGAAGCAGAACTAGAAGGAGGTTTGCAAGAAGAATTAAATAGAAATACCGTGTCTTCTCCACATCTTTCTACAAACAAAACTGGAAAATTCCCAAATGAAACTAAAAGTTGCTTCCCAAAGGAACAACAGTGCGAAACCCAACAGCCACGTCTCCTTCCAGCACGGATGCAACCACGGGGTCTTTGAAAGTCACGTCCAAGTTGGGCAGCATTTGGGGAACCAAAGCACGGTGATAACTCCAAAAGACAGCCACTGTGCAGTATGTCCCCTAACACCTGGAATATTTTTTGCTAACACCTGCCCTGCTCTCCCCGCAGCCCCCTGCCATTCCTGCAGAGCATCTTCCAGTCCGACAAACACCGGCCAGCGTTAAGGGTGCAATGTCCCCCCACCATGCAGGAGAAAGGAAAGGAGAGGAGGGGAGTATGATCCAAGCACTGCAGCTGCATTTTGCAAAGCTCTGCTTAGCCGAAACCCTCCATCTCCAAAAATACTGACCAGGGGGGTGTGTCAGCATCGACGGCGACAGCCAAAGCTCTCATTTCAAAGGCAAAACCAAATGTTTCCGCAGGATGTCATCTGGGCAAGCATGTGAGAACCTCAAGAGGCTGCAGGACAAGTTACAGGGACACTTCTGCACTCGATATTGCAAATGATAGAGTTACCAATAAATTTTGAGCTTATGGACTTTGTATGAGGATTATTTCGATTTTCCTAAGAAAAAAGCAGCTTGAAAGCAAAGCACTTTCCAGGTTAAAGCACCACTAATATAATAATTCAGTTTTCAGCTCCAGATCCTCCTGTGATCCTGGATTCCCAACATGAACCATCAGTTTAAACCAAATTAAAACTGCCAGCTGATATTTATCGCAACAGGTCCTTTCTCCATCCTTCGGCAGCGATGCTCATGCATTGCAGGGCACCAAACAGAAAGCCGGAGGCAAACCCAGGAGACACACCAGCAAACAGCCTGAAGGTACTGAGGAACACACTCCGGGACAGACATCAGGAAGACTATCCCTACAAGCCGCATCTGAATTTAATCAAAATGAGAACAGCTTGACAAACAAACTTTTTTCTGTCCCTATCTGAAAATGGGATCTCAATCTCAGGGTTACTGAGAAAAGCCAGCAGAAGCTTTTTTTCCCTTTGAACTCCTGGTCTAACAGCATAATCATGCAGCCAGAAAGTGGAAATGTTCAGCTAGACTTTTCAACAGCTTTGTACAATCAAATTAAACAAAACCAAATATAGAAAAGCATGCAAACTTGCACAAGCCTTGGCTACTCTCAAAAAAATCTGAGAAATCATTACAATGGACTCTGGTAATGAAGTCCAACTTCTGCCCTACTGAAAGCTGAACAAATTGGCACTGCAAGTCTGGGAGGGAGGTAAAAAAAAAAAAGGCATTTTGAATCACTAAGAGAAGGGGATTTGGGTTTACGCTGCAGATTAACCTTTCAGGCCATGGCACGAATATGCACAGCATCGTCTTGCGGCCTGAGAGTAATTAACACTTTGAATTAACAGTGAGATGTTGGCTATGGCCAAAAAGGTAAAGGTTTGTGGCTGCCCCACGGGGTAGTTATATATAAAAGAGCTTGGCAAATGTTTAGCAGCTGACTTGCGATGTTGAGTTTAACACTAACACGTTGACAAGAAACCTTTGGTGCTTTGCAAGGCAGCGGGTACGACCCAGGGCTTGGAGCAATCCTTGCACACCGGGGAATGCCAACCACCTGGTTAAATCTGATCAAAGGTTTATAAATCTTCACCAGGGTCCCAATTCACGAGTTACTGATTTGTCGGGGTTCCAGCTTTACGACAAGGCTTATTATTTCGGCTCAGTCTTTTCCTATTTCCTACTGTCGGTCGCAGAACCGGCCGTTTCATATTTATCAGAGCCCTGTTAGGTCTCCAAGCCCTGCAAACTCATTTTAGAGATCCCAGACCTCGAATTCAAAAGGTTACTGCAGGTCCAAAACCACGCTGCAAATCTTAGCGGAGCCGTTTGCAGATCCAGAAGCTCCTCCGAGCTGTTAAATGCTCCTTGCGCATCCCTCAGCTGCCATTTCCAGCCACGAAGGGTACCAGCCTTACGGCAATGCTGTCACACAGAGAAGCAGAAATGGTCAGAGCCGGCAAGTGTTCATCAGCATCTCAAAGCAAACAGGAAAAGAAACAGGCTTGTTCAGTGGGATGGGAAAATCCACCCATATTAGTCTAAATCAGGCTGATTCCTGTGTATGGCACGGCGGGAACGCCAGAGCCACCAGGACTTTGGTGTCCTCAGTGCAATAAAAAAGCATCCTCCCACCATAGTCGTCTCGGGCAAAGGAGAGCACAGAGGGATCCCTGGAAATGAGCTGCACACATCTGCTAGGGTCAGAGCAAATCCTTGCCACCGATGCTCCCCTTCCAGGCAAGGAACTCGCCAGGTGAAAGCTGCGGAGATGCAGAGACTGGAGCCGTCAGCATCAGCTGGAGCACGGCTTGGGGACAGGGAGCTCCGGGAGCCCAAACCCAGCAGCAGCACCCACGGGAAAGGGAAGCACGGCGCTTCCTTCCCGGCATCAAAAATAATCCCCGCTCCCTCCACCTCCCCGCACAGCCTGAACAGAAACCTCAGTGGCTGGGAGCCTGGCAGGGCTGGGGCACCCGGCTGTGGGATTTTTTTTGAGGAAAATCCTGGTTTTGCATTTGCCTCCCAAACCCGTGCCAAGAGGCAGAGAGGCAGTACGGGTGATGCTGAGGACATTTTGTACAGCAAAGCCCACGGAGCAAGCGTGCTGTTCACCTTGAAAAGCTGTTCAGACGGTCCTGCAAATGCAAGAGGCGCCTTAAATCACCCAGACGGCTGCAGAGACCTCTGCGAGGACAGAACATTATGAGACGAGGTGAAGGGCTGCTCAATAAAGTGTTTTAATCCTTAAACATCCTTAGCTTTCAATGCACGCCGGTGCCTGACCGCAGCCACCTCACACCAGCTTGTCCAGCGTAATTACAATTGCAGATTTTTATTCCCACAGCTACCACTAAATTCACATCTAGAATTCAAGTAGCAGAAAGGAAGTCTTAATTGAGATGCATACGAAGCGTATTTTAGTTCTGGGCTTGCTATGGCACAGATACACACATACACAATTACCATTTAAGCAACAAAGCTGAATTTTGGTGAAGTGCAAAGCAGATCGAGGCAGCCCCATCCATTCTGCCTGACGGCCCGTTTATCCCAGGAGCTGGCTGCTCCAAATGCTTTCCCTCTGCCGACCTGTGGATTTTAAAAGTCCCTTTTCTGCTCTGCTTCTGCAGCAGCTGTTGAACCTCCTTTCTTCAGAAGCATTACTTGGCAGGGTGTCTGTGTGAGCTTATGACTTACTAGCAATAGTATACAAGTCTCCGGCGTTACATAAACACTGTATTTGCCTTGTTATTTCGGGATATCCCCTATTGCAGATGGGCTCTCCTTCTGTGCACCGCCCAGGACAATGGAGCCCTGATACGACCAAATAAACCTCTTTTTTTTCCCCCACCCCAACCCCAGCACACGGTTAAACCCTACTAGATGGATATTTGGAGAGCAGGCAACTCCAGCAGTGGTGGTCTCCACCTCTGGGAAAGGCTCCTGTGGGGTAGCACACACACATCCCTGATTCAATCCATCAGACAGCAAAGAGCCTACAAACTCTTCTATCACCTTAACATTGGAGGCAGATTATTAAAAAGCTCCTGCATAAGCTTGAGTAGGTATGCAGGGAACTTCTGCAAGCCTGTCTGGTTTGCATTGTCGTTTTTTGTCTGATTTTTGGAAACAAAGATTTGCAGCTGAAGCTGGTTTCCCTGTGATACTCTTCACCTTAGGAGGGGCAGCGGATGCAGCCAAAGCAGAGGTTTCAGTTCATTTCTTAATTATAAGTCACGGCTTTTGGAGCAACAGATTCAAGTCTTCAGCCTTCCCGAGGGAGCAATATGGAAGGACCATCCTCCTCTGGTACAAAACACAGCAGAACCAAAGCCCATCCATCCCACTGGTTGTTTTTCCATAGGAGAAGAATTAGCACAGCAGCCCTCCCCCATCCTGGCTCTTCCCCAGTGGTGAGTGTGCACCAGGGGTGCCTTTAATGATGATTATTCTTGCTCTGGTCTAGTCACGCTCGGGAAGTTGAGGAAGCAAAACGCCTTTCCATTACCCACACAATACCTCAAATTGCTCCATATATATATATAAATATATTATGCATATAAATGCACATATATACACACTTACATCATATATATACACACATATATAAAATATATATAGACATATATGTGTCATATATACACACGTTTATACACACACACATATATATAAATGCTATACACATATATATATAAATGCTATACATAAAAGATACAGTGCAAGGACTGAAACCAACTCACAGGCCAAGCATTTCCTCTTGCAAAAAGTGATTTTTGTACTTGGTAATCTACTGAGAAAAAAACCCCCAACTTTCCAGCTTTTCAATGAGTTTGGTGCAGATGGGCCGAAATTGTTCGAGGTTGGATGGAAGGAAAAAAAAGTGGGTTGCATTTCTTTTT